CGTCGCTGCCGCCCAGGGCGAAGCCCCCACCCCCACCACCGCTGCCCCCGCGAACAACCAGAACTCCGCGTCGCTCTATGTTGGCGAGCTCGACCCCTCCGTCACCGAGGCCATGCTCTTCGAGCTGTTCTCGTCGATTGGCCAGGTCGCGTCTATCCGTGTCTGCCGTGACGCCGTTACCCGTCGCTCGCTCGGTTACGCCTATGTTAACTACAACAGCTCTGAGGATGGCGAGAAGGCCCTCGAAGAGCTGAACTACACCGTCATCAAGGGCAAGCCTTGCCGCATCATGTGGTCCCAGCGTGACCCCGCTCTGCGCAAGACTGGCCAGGGCAACGTCTTCATCAAGAACCTCGACCACGCCATCGACAACAAGGCTCTCCACGACACCTTCGCCGCTTTCGGTAACATCCTCAGCTGCAAGGTCGCTCAGGACGAGCTCGGCAACTCCAAGGGCTACGGATTCGTCCACTACGAGACCGCCGAGGCTGCCAACAACGCTATCAAGCACGTCAACGGCATGTTGCTCAACGAGAAGAAGGTCTTCGTCGGCCACCACATCCCCAAGAAGGAGCGCATGAGCAAGTTCGAGGAGATGAAGGCCAACTTCACCAACATCTACGTCAAGAACATCGACCTCGATGTCTCTGACGAGGACTTCCGTGAGCTCTTCGAGAAGCACGGTGACATCACCTCTGCCTCCATCGCGCGCGATGACCAGGGCAAGAGCCGCGGGTTCGGCTTCGTCAACTATATCAAGCACGAGGCCGCATCTGACGCCGTCGAGAAGCTCAACGACGTTGACTTCCGTGGCCAGAAGCTCTACGTCGGCCGTGCCCAGAAGAAGCACGAGCGTGAGGAGGAGCTCCGCAAGCAGTACGAGGCCGCTCGTCTTGAAAAGCAGTCCAAGTACCAGGGTGTCAACCTCTACATCAAGAACCTCAACGACGATGTCGACGACGAGAAGCTGCGCGACATGTTCACTCCTTTCGGTACCATCACCTCCGCCAAGGTCATGCGCGATGCCATGCCCGCTGAGCGCGCCGAGACCCCGTCCGACGAGAAGAAGGACGAGGCCAAGGAGGAGCCCAAGGAGGCTGAGAAGACTGAGGAGTCCAAGGATGAGTCCAAGGCTGACTCTTCTGACGAGAAGAAGGACGAGAACGCCAGCGGCGAGAAGGTCACCATCAAGGGTGAGAAGAAGATCCTTGGTAAGAGCAAGGGCTTCGGTTTCGTCTGCTTCAGCAACCCCGACGAGGCCACCAAGGCTGTCACCGAGATGAACCAGAAGATGATCGAGGGCAAGCCCCTCTACGTCGCTCTTGCCCAGCGCAAGGATGTTCGCAAGAACCAGCTCGAGGCTACCATCCAGGCCCGCAACCAGCTCCGCATGCAGCAGCAACAGCAGCAGCAGTTCGGTGGCATCCCTCAGATGTTCATCGCACCTGGCCAGCAGCCTATGATGTTCCCCGCTGGTGGCCGTGGTCAGATGCCCTTCCCCGCCGGTATGCCCGGCCAGCAAGGTGGTCGTGGCGCTGGTTTCCCCGGCGGCATGCCCGGTCAGCAAGGCGGTCGTGGTGGACCCAACGGCCAGCAGATGCCTCCCATGTACATGCCCCCCGGCATGGCTCCCGGTGCTTTCCCTCCCGCCTACATGAACCAGCAGTACATGCAGCTTGCTCAGGCTGCTCAGCAGGCTATGGGCGGACGCGGCGGTCGTGGCGGCCCCATGGCTCCTATGCCCGGTATGCCCCAGGTCCCGATGGCTGGTGTTCCCGGCATGCGCGGTGGTCAGGGCGCCTTCCCTCCTCAAGGTGGTCGCGGCGGTATGCCCCAGGGCGGCCGATCTGGTCAGTCCCCCATGCCCGGTTACCCTCAGGGCGGCCGTGGCGGTCCCGCCGGTGCTGGCGTCGACATGGGTGCTCTGAGCGGCGCTCCTCCTGGTCAGCAGAAGCAGATGCTCGGTGAGGCTCTCTACCCCAAGATCGCTGAGATGCAGCCCGAGCTCGCTGGCAAGATCACCGGTATGCTCCTCGAGATGGACAACAGCGAGTTGATCACCCTGTAAGTTTTCCCACTTCCCATTTTAGAACCTTCAGTACTGACTACCCTAGCACTTCCGATGAGTCTGCCCTCCGCGCCAAAGTCGACGAGGCCATGAGCGTCTACGACGAATACGTCAAGAACAAAGAGGGTGAGCCTGAGAAGGAAGCTCCCAAGGAGGAGACCAAGGAAGATGCTTAGATCTCTTTCTAGTTGCCACTGAGTAGGATTCGGTTCGCGATTCTCTCGAACGGCAACAAGTTACGATGGTCGCATGATCTTTCTGAACGGCGAACGGCGCACGGGTAACGGTTTTCTTTCACGACACGGGACGGCTTTCATGACCATGCACCCAAAAAGTTTTCACGATTCGATGTCCACTTCTCAGCTACCTACTACGATACCTCTTTCCCCGGCAACTGACTCCTTCACTGGAACGTCGGCTGCCTACAACACCCAAACTCGCATCTCCAGAGTTTGGTTTTCCCCTCATGTTTTTTTCTTTGTTCCCCGCTTTGTGCATGTTATCATAGACGGCGCCCCGTCTTCGAAACGTTCATGATATGGGTCTGTGTGGATGGATTTTCTTTGCGCAAACAGTATGATACCTCACGAGCAGCTTTACGATACCAAGCTGGCTCTCAATGTTCGGGTTTTCGGCGTCTCGATAATTCATGGTAGATGTGGATAAGATTACGGGTTCGAAGCATCTAGTCCGTACTGGATAGCTTTGCTGGGGAGAGATGAGCAGATAAGATCTTAGGCATGTAGTCGATACTCCTAATAGATCTTACAATATTCACGACTGGCTTTTGATGTGATGGCTTCTCACTTCGTTTGTTTGAAAATTGGTGTTGAGGTCTCGGGCCGCGCATGGATACTACAAAATCGATATCCTGAGGACAAGCACTAACATGATCAAGTACACGACTCAATGAGCGAGATAGATATCGAGATTGGTATCGTCATTCAATAATACTGCGTCGATGTCGTAAACTCGAGTCTTGACCAGCAAGGTATCTGCTTATATGCCCGTGATAGCCAAATTATACGCCATCCCACGTTCCAAGCTATCCACAGACGCCTATTTCTTGTAGTTCTTGTGCGCGTCGATGACCTTTTGGACCTCGCCTTCGGAGCCAAGGAAGATGCCCGATCGGTCGTGGATGTGTTCGGGGACGACTTCAAGCATACGGTCCATCTTGCTGTTTACCGCCAAACCGCCAGCTACAAGCAAAGAAAGTTAGCCGGAGTGCATTGGGATAGGAAGAAACGGGTGAACATACCATTCTCAAACACCATAGCCATAGGCGCACACTCATAAAGAATCCTCAACTTGCCCTTTGGCGTCTTCTTATCCGCTGGGTACGCAAAGATACCACCATAAAGCAGCGTGCGATACGCATCCGCCACCATGGAACCAATGTACCTCGCGCTGTACGGCTTCTGTCCCTCAGCGGGGTTCTTAAGACTCTCGCACCACTGCTTAACAGGCTCTTCCCAGTACATGCTATTACCCTCGTTGACGGAGTAAATGCTCCTCGTCTTGGGGACGCGCATATCAGGATGTGTGAGGATGAACTCGCCAAACGCATTGTCGAGCGTGAAGCCATTGACGTTTCCGCCCTTCATTGTAAGCACCAACTGCGCGGACGCGCCGTACATGGTAAAGCCTGACGCCACCATCTCGGTGCCGGGTAGAAGCATTTCCTCTTTTGTGCCCTTGGCGCCCTCGGGTAGTTTGTACACGGCGAAGATGGTGCCGACGGCGACTCCGGCGTCGAGGTTGGAGGAGCCGTCGATGGGGTCGCAGGCTACGGCGTAGCGCGCGTTGGGGTGCTCGTTGAAGACGATGGCTTCTTCTTGCTCTTCGGAGATGAGGAGGCGCACGCGGCCTGAGGAGCGCATGGCGGAGATGAAGAGCTCATCGCCGATTACGTCGAGTTTCTTTTGGTCGTCGCCGGTTGTGTTGGATGTGCCTTGGAGGCCGGTGAGCTGGGGGTGTTAGTTGCGCTTGAGTGTGATTTGTGGTGGTTTGCATACGTTGATCAGTGTTGCTCTCCGGATGTAGTAGGCAATGCTCTTGAAGGCGAATTGCAATGCGTGGCATAGCAGTCTAGCACAATTGGTCAGTTCTCGGGTTTGAATGCCTTGAGTTTGAACCTACGTGAAGTCTCCTGTTGCCTCCGCGTACTTGGTCTGCTCTTCAGTGAGGAATCGCGTAAGGGTGATGATGTCGGTGTTGATCTTCTCCTGCGCAACTGGGCCTCCCTCGTTACCGTTTGAAGCCATGGTGTAGACTTTTGGTAGAGTTCAATTTACAAGGTGTAACAGTAGGGACGAACGAAGCGACAAGACAAGTTGGTATCAGCGGTGGAAGGGAAGATGGGAAAGCAGTATGGGGAATGGGGAAATTTGGAGAGAGGGATGGTGAAAAAGCTATCAAGCTACAAGTTGAGCAAAAAGCGGAGCTGGCTATCGTTATGAAGTCAGGGTGGGTAGAGTCGGGCAGGCGGACCACACTTCTGTGGCATTTGTTTGGCAGGCCGCTGGGAAGCTATAGCCCTCGGCAACTGGCCGGACGTCACTGGCAGCTCACGATGCTCCAGCCGGGGCGGCGGTCAGCGCGTGTCACTGCGGCCAGTTTCTCCGGAACAAGCCCGAATTTCGTGGAAAAATTCCCGAGCGAAGATGCTCGACATGGTTCTGGCCCGCGAGCTGAGGACGGCTGCCAGAGTGTTGCGGGAATTGACGCGCTTTGTTGCGGGAGCGCGTGGGTGGCAGGCTATGATGCAGGTGCGGAGACGGAAAAGTGGAGGGGCACGAGGGGTTGGCGGGGCGCGACTGAAGCGCTGACGTTTGCCCGACTTCTTCCGGACCGCGGACGGGGAGACATCACCATCACGCTCGTGCTATATACTCCCGTGCTCCTGAAGACTATTCGTGGTTTAATTGCGCTATGCTGCGTTATCCTCTTTGGGCTTCCGTGTCTGAAGAGAAACCGCGACTTTTTCAGTCAACAGTTTACTCGTGTTCGGCGCAAGCAGCGACAACAATATGCCCAGTCCAGTAAAAGCTAAAGACACCAGATAAACCGTCTTGAAAGCTTGTGACAGGCCCGAATGATATGCCGATACCGCAACTGCTCTAATCTCAGGGGTTAGTCCGTTTACCATGGACCATGCCGCAGGCGTTCCCAACGACAAGGCTGAGAGGATCGAAGCAGTGCTATCTTTAGGCAAGCCAGCGCCCAACACGGCGGGTACTACCGCAGCAGGTACCGTCGTCGAGCGCCTGTTCGCCAGGACGACGTTGTAGACTGCTTGACATGTACCCGCGACAGCGGTGCGTACTGATGCAGCAGCACCGCCAGCAGCGCCAATCTCTCGTTGATCGGTTATCGTGAGAATGGCATTCCCGAGAGCGATGTCCGCGACGTATCCCATCATCATAGCGGAAAAGAAGATTAACGCAGACGATTGGGCTTGGTTGCTTGGGTCTGCTGTTGACACAGCTGTTGCCTGCGTTAGTACGTATTCAGAGGGTAGGTACCGGAACAGAGCAAAACTTACATGCAAGAAGTCCGCCACCTATAGCCATAGCCACGGTAATCTGCCAATTCTGATATCCGATCGGTCCAGCCAGGCATCCTCCCACGAAACCGCCTATCAGGATGCCTAAATTGGCTAACGAGGAAAGGAACGCGGCATGCATAAGGTCGCCGTTGGCGTAGAAGTTCTGCGTAATTTGTGGCCAGATGACTGCGGACTATTAGCGACTATCCCAGCAGGGCCGAAGAAGGTAGACTTACTCGCGCCAGCGTAGTACACTCCAGCCCCAATACCCGTGAGTATTGCCGATACGACCCACGGGCGATGGCGAAAGAGACTCATAGGAACCAAAGGCTCCTTAAGATCCATGAAGAGTTCCCAGCATATAAAAGCAACAAGACAGCCGAAGCCGATGAGAATGAAAGATAGCACTTCAGCCGACGTCCAGCTATACTTCGTGCCGCCCCATGAGAGACCAAGCAAGAACATAGTAAGGCCAGCGGCATAGAGCAACGTGCCAACGTAGTCGAACTTCTTAACAAAATCCATCTTCTTCTCCCTCTGACCATGCTTCTGGTGGAAGTTGGGAGGATGGTAAAAGACGCAGTAGCAGATCAAAGACGCTCCGTTGACGGCAGTGAGTAAGAAGTATACAGCTCGCCAACCGACTCGAGTCGCAACTAGACTCTGCGCAACGACGGGGGCGAAACCCTGCCCAGGTAGATTCCAGACGTTGATTGCGCCAATCATGAGATATCGGTACTTAGATGGGATGAGCTCGCCGATGGTGTAGTAACAGGACAGTTGTGTCGCAGCTGCGAGTGCCTTGATCATGGATCCAACGATCAACATGTTGACGTTAATAGCAAGAGCACTGATCAGTGTTCCGATCATAGCGAGGAATGCCCCCACGATGAAGAAATAACGACGTCCGAAGATGTCGCTTAGTCTTCCTATGATGGTCTGGTCGAAGTCAGTGATGAACAAGTGGAACTCAAGATTCGTCGTTGTACGTACCATACCTACGGACAGTCCAACTGGATGCACAAGTGCGACCCATTGGATATTGGGATCTGGTCCAATGTCCGCATTGATGGTACCCAGAATAGGTGCAGCATAGGCAAAGCCTGCATTGTGTTGGTTAGTCATCCTCTCATGCGATTCACTGACCAGTATACTCACCAGCATTGCCAGCCCAAGCCCCAAAGCCCACGGCGCAACATGTACCAAGGAAGAAGGAACTGAGATAGTACCCCTTCGGTAGATTCTCCACATCGCCAGCGAAGCCATCGGCGTCAGTCTGAATCTTGTCTTTGTCCTCCATGTCTTTGAGAGGAATGCTCGAAACATCCTCAATCGTGGAGATGCCGGGCGTTGTCTTATCGGTTGCGGCCATTCTGATAGCTGATGTTGCCCCAGTTGTTGTTGAACCGGACATATGTCGGAAGTGGATACAGCATTGATAGCAATACTTATGGTCTGTGATAAGACTTAATTCATACGCGAATCACACAGTCCCGTCCTTCCCGACGTTGTGGCTGTCAATGTCGCGATCTGTGTTGAGAATAACGGGAGTGGATACATTTCTCCGAAGCCACCGTTTTCAGCTCAGCACACGCCATGAAATTCGTAGAGTCTGATGATTCGAGAACACGACTCTGCTACGTGACTGTTGTCAGGGTACATAGACAAGCATTGCGGGGTATCGCCGCGCGAATGGTAGTTCTCACGCCGCCACGTAGTTCGGTGGTGAGTCTCGCCGTTTATGATGCGATATGCAGTGTCAGTGTGGTAGCGTACGAAAGCGGGCGCTAATGCAAGGTCATGCTAGCGGCACCATGTCGTTTGCGGTTATAGCGATTTCGCGGAAGCCGATATGCGACCGTATACTTTCGATTGGATGAAACGAATACGGATATCGTTGCTCAAACGATGTCGGTCGTGCCGCAATTCCGCGTAATCGACTTGCATGACATTGCATTGCAGAGTTCATGTCGATCAGAGCGTGCACCGTTGAAGTGGAGATGTATCTGGGCAGTCAAGTCTATCCTGAGTTCAAGTCAGCTCAGAGTCACTCCGAAATTGATCGCGACCTTACGTTGTCTTCGAAGTCGTACACCTCCAAATTTCACAAAATATGGTAAACCGTCAGCGGAGTCCCGTCAAACCAGGATGGGCAGCACAGACGGCTGTTCAAGAAGTCGATGAAGCGACTCCCTTGTTTCCTGCACCAACATCAACATACGAGGTGAGCTCCTGTCATCCCAAAATGGCCTTTTTTGTCAGCTAAGATTTTGTAGGCAGTCAATGGTGCTTCGCAAGATCCCGAGCGGGGAGATGGGTCCGCGAAAGACCACTCAACGCCGAAACGATCGCTGGTGACAACCATTTCCATCTTGTTGATCGGTGGGGGTCTTTATCCTGTCAGCATAGCTCTCCGCTAATCATAGCAGGTGTCTTCATCTCCCAAGCAGACACATCGCTGGTGTTAGCCACCTACGGCAAGATCTCGTCAGAATTCCACGACCTCGAAAGCGGCTCCTGGCTCCTTTCAAGCTACATGCTAGCCATGTGTATATCGCAACCACTTTTTGGAAAGCTAAGCGACATCTTTGGGCGAAAGTCGTGTTTGCAGGTAGCCTATGTCCTCTTCGCGATCGGAACGCTCGGTTCAGGACTGGGCCGGTCAATGGCTCAGATCATCGCTGCTCGTACAATTCAGGGTGCTGGTGGCGCTGGTATGGTGTGCATGGTGTCGATCTTGTTGACTGATCTGCTGCCCTTCCACGAAGTCGCGCTATACCGAAGCTATGTCAATGTGGTGCAGACAGTAGGAAGAAGCTGTGGCGGCGTGATTGGGGGGCTTCTTGCTTCCACGATTGGCTGGCGCTGGTAAGTCCTTATATGACAGTCCCTTCGTTACGTACACAAGTTACTGATGGATGCCGCAGGGCCTTCCTGGCACAAGTTCCTCCAGTCATTCTTTCGATTGTCTTAGTCCAGTGGAAGTTGGATGTTCCGCAGAAGACTTTCAAACCGGGGTACTGCGAATCCACTCGCGACAAGTTACGACGTATCGACTTCATCGGAGCGGTGTGCATGAGTATAACGATCTTCACTGCGCTGCTCGTCCTGGACACTGGCGGCCAGAAATACGATTGGAACCACCCCGTCATCGTCACATCCGCTTGCGTTGCTGTTATCGGCGCTGGAACGTTTGTCGTATACGAACGGTACTTCGCGAAAGAGCCAATCTTTCCTGCCCAACTACTCACCCGCTACGTTGTTGGCACTTCTTATGGAATCCTTCTCCTGCAGAACTTTTCTCAGACCGCAGTAAGACCCAGCAATTGTGGCTGAAAGATGATAGACTAACTCAGTGGCAAGCTAATGTTCATCATCCCCATCTACTTCCAGGTCACCAACAATGCATCGACTGGCGAAGCCGGCGCCTACCTCATACCCTCTGTGGTTGGAAATACAGTCGGTGGCCTCTTGACGGGGGCATGGATCAAGCGGTACGGTCCTTCGTTCACGTATCTGGGATGGCGAGCTAACACAAACCAGAACCGGAAGTTACAAAGCTCCTACGATACTCGCGAGTGCCAGCTCAGCGTTGTCTTTCATTCTCTTGCTTCTATTCTGGCGTGGGCATACCACAGCCTGGGGATCCTTCCTAATATTCCCCGCCGGCTTTGCAACAGGCATGGCTCATTCGGCGGTCTTCGTTGGATTGACATCCGCAGTGGCGGAGGACGAGGTAGCCATTGCTGGTTCTGGCTTGTACCTGAGTGGGAACGTGGGGGGCGTTACGGGCGTCAGCGGGGCTGCTGCAGCCTTTCAAATCGTTTTGCAGATGGGCCTGAATCATGCCCTGGAGGGAAGGAATGACGCATCCGAGATAGTCGAGAAGGCTACCTCGGATATCGCCTACATTCAGCATGTGGGCGACGGTCTTCGCGAGCTGCTGATGCCGGCATATATACACGCCACGCAGCAAGTATTCGGTAAGTCTAGAAAATTCGAGGCCTGACTTTGCTAACTTGCGACAGTGCTTGGGCTAGTCGCCTCCGTCATCGCATTTTCCATCGCACTTGTCACGAAGGAGAGGAACCTGTTGAAAGCAAACTCGGCCGAGTAGACAACGCATCTTGACACCCCTTTCCTACGCGTGAGAGTCAATAACTTGGATGGCGCAAGGTGTTTGACGTCACCCATGGGCAGCCTGTGGTGGAATGGTGTAGCCGAGACATATAGCCCGAATTGCTACAACGATCAACCAACACCGTATAGTACAATGAAGTCTTGCATCAGCTGCGGCGCTGACCAAGTCATTCGACGCATGCGTGATCAAGGCGTCGTCGGAATGCAGTCCAAGTATGGGAATGTTTCCACCATGTCGGGCCCGACTGTCCAGTTCTTCAGCTGCCGGACGTGACTTTCGAAGTCCGGATTGAGCTGCAGCTCACTGTTCGATGCGACGATGAGAATACTAGATATGTCGTGAGGCCAATGGATTGACAGCGAATTGCCCGTGATCTCCCGTAGCTTGGAGAACTCCCGCCCCTCAGACAAGTCCATATACTGGAGTATGCGCTTCCGTGCTTCAGGCCTTCAACTATATCGTCAGTAGTGACACTCAACCTTCGACCGTAAGCTTACCAAACTATCGTATCAACCCAAATCGGATGAGGTATTGTTAGCTGGGCTTCTACGGGCCTCAAGAAGTCTGGCATGGCTTCGTAATTGCGCTTTGTGGGGGATATGAGCCAGCGGAGCAACAGGCTCATATAATACAAACACGCAACCCTTTCGGCTGAGCCTTTGACTGCCATACTTATCTTACCGTGCTGACCTAGAGCATCCGAAATCGGATTCTGCGAATTGCGGGTAGCAGGGTTGAGCAATGACCGAACGCTAGGGAAAGACTTTTCTGGAAGCTGCCCAGAAGATTGCACGTGCTGACGGCTGGTAACGATGATCTCGAGCAATACAGAATCGAGCCGACAGGTGGCGGATGCATGAAGTGGCAGTCGCTCCCACGCCGGAGGCTGTGAAGCTGTGCCAGCCATGTCTAACAACGGGAGCTCTGGTGCGAAAGGCCAATCCCTTGGGATGCCGACACCGTCCTGGGCTGCATTCGCGCCAAATAGTGACAATGAGTATGTATTGTTCGCGTCTGGTTCCAGGACTAAGGATTTAGCTGATATCCGATCAGTCCACGATGGCGAGACTTACTCGAAGTGCCATCCCACATATTGAACAGAGACTCGTCCGCACTGATAGGCAGCTCTAGGCTCAGCCCAGTATCTGCATCTCTCAAAAGCACGCCCTCGGTGGACGTTGCGCCGTAAGCTGAAGCATCGATAGTCGCTGAGCCATCGCTCAGGCCAGCAGATAGTGAATGCGATGCGAAGTTCAACGTCGTATTGGCCCCAATACTAGTCGGGGGAGATCTTGATGTTTGCGACAAGTCGAGCCCGGCCTCAGCAAAGGATGGGTCTGGGACTGCTCCAGTCGATGGTGAGGACGCATCTCTATCAAATGGTGAGACTGTGTGGTGATCGACCATCTGAAGGGACACTCGCGCCGAATTGATGATCTCTCGAAGGCATGTTTCATTGTTCTGCAGCTGTTTGACGAGGCCTTCTGAGCGCGTAAGGCGCCGCTTCAGATCAGCGACCTCTTCTTCTAGCTCTGCTATACGCGACTTCTTCCGCGCTCTCGCAGCTCTTTGGTTAAGTCTGTCGAATGTCCTCTTTCGGTACAATTGTTCGGTACTCATATTTGCCACTGTCCTGTCCATGGCTGCGTGCCTCGTCGGTGACGAACTTTCCACATGGAGAAGCCATGAGAGGAGCGCGCCGGCATTTTCGGCGACTTACTAGGAATCGCCGCGAGAGGATTGGCGTTTGCGGCTTGCTGCGTCGTAGCCGGGCACGCAATGCGGAGACGATAGCACGAGGGAGACATTTCCCGCGATGGCTGGTGCCAGATGTGGGGTGAGGCTCGTGCTCGAGGTTTAGCGTCGCACTACGTGACAATGCATCGACCCATGAACTCCACCCGCTTCCTGCACTCACGCGTCACGGCGCCGGCCTCGTCTTCAAGCCCAGTAACGACGCGGGAACATCGACCCTGAACATGGCTCTGTTTCAACGCGGGGAGAGCGCGTTCAACCGTATGATGCCTTATAAGGGCACATTTCTCCAGGTCCAGTTGTCAGCTTCGACAACGGCTTGTCACCATGAAGTTCCTCAAGCTATTCCATTATGCAGTGCTTTCGTCGGCACTGTACTGCGCAGCAGCGAAGCAACCGAACATTCTCTTCATCTTGACAGATGATCAAGATTGGCACATGAAGTCATTGGTTTGTGCATCTCTGGCTGTCTCGAGTAACAATAGCTCACAAAGAACAGGAGCACATGCCATTCCTGCAAAAGTATCTACTCCATGAAGGTACACTGTATGCGAACCACTTCTGTACGGTTGCGTTATGTTGCCCTTCTCGCGTAAACCTCTGGACCGGAAGAGCTGCTCACAACACGAATGTGACTGACGTCTTTGCACCCTACGGTTCGTAGTCATCGCCGCGTGTTACTACCAGCCTCGTTAACACGTTTCAGGTGGCTACCCAAAGGTCGTTCGCGAAGGCATCAACGATGACTACCTCCCAGTATGGATGCAGAATGCTGGCTACAACACGTACTACTCTGGCAAGCTGTGGAACCACCACTCTGTTGACAATTACAACGCACCCTACGCCGGCGGATACAACGGTTCCGACTTCATCCTCGACCCCTATACGTACGAATACTACAACGCGCACATGAGTCGTAACGGTGGACGACCCATAAGCTACAAGGGTCAATACTCGCCTGATGTGACTGCAGAGAAGGCGTATGGCTTTCTCGAGGAGGCAACGCAACACCCTGAGCCTTGGTTCCTTACCATTGCACCTATCGCACCCCATAGCAACGTGAAGCTTGTGCCTACCGAAGAGTATAGTGCGGATTTGCCTCAATACGCAGAGCGACATGCTCATCTCTTCACCGAGTACAAGATCCCTCGCGACGCCAACTTCAATCCCGAGAAGCAGGGTGGCACAGGATGGGTCAAGAGACTTCCGCTTCTCAACGACACAGTCATTGACTACAATGACGAGTTTCAACGCTCCCGCCTTCGTGCGCTTCAGTCAGTAGACGAGATGGTGGAGCAACTTGTGAAGACTCTCGAGCACAAGGGCCTTCTTGAAGACACATACATCATCTACACCACTGACAACGGGTACCACCTAAGTCAGCACCGCCTGCATGCTGGCAAGGAATGTGGCTATGAGACTGATATTCACATCCCCCTCATCGTGCGTGGGTCTGGTGTGATGAAGGGCCACACCACGGACATTGTCAGCTCCCACACCGATCTCGCGCCCACTATCATGAAGTTAGCCGGGCAGAGTCTACGCGAAGATTTCGATGGCTCAGTCATGCCACTCTCCAAAGAAGACACCCTTCTCGCCGAATCTACGGAACGCCAAGAACACATCAACATCGAGTACTGGGGCCGAGCCATCCCCGAAGGTATATGGGGACACTACGACAACCCGGTGAAGGAAATTCACCCGCCCGACCAGAACTGGGGTGGATACCTCCACTCTGTACGCAACAACACGTACAAAGGCCTTCGCCTCATCGGCGAAGACTACAACATCTACTACTCCGTCTTCTGTACTGGCGACAAGGAGTATTACGACATGCGCTTTGACCCAGGCCAGCTCCAAAATTACTTCGACGGCGAAGACGCGGACCTCATAGCGAAACGTGACACCTACCGTATCGCAGGCCGCCCCTTCACCGCCATCATCGACCGCATCGACGCATTGATGATGGTACTCAAATCATGCAAGGGCGACGCTTGCCGAAACCCCTGGAATGTGTTGCACGGTAGTGACAAGGTCAAATCACTCAAACAAGCACTATCGCATCGCTATGACGCTTTCTACGCATCGCAACCCAAGGTCCAATTCGAGGACTGTGCTTTGGGCTATATCCGTGAGGTTGAAGGCCCACAGGAGGCGAACGTTTGGCATGGCTGGGATGACGGAGAGAGACCTGAGCTGAAGGCGCGCAGGAAGCCGAGTTTTGTGTATCAGGGGAATCCGCATTTGCTTACTTGAGGTTGTAGTAGAAGTTGTTTCCGGGTACAGCCTGTATATACCCAGTAGGTTATGGGTGAGCATAAGTTCACATAGGATGCAATGATACATGCCTCAAGAGCTGAGCATCTTGTTAAACATACGACCCAAAATCACAGAAAGGCATGTAGACGGCAAGATAATGTATGAAGTAAAGAATTTTTGTTCAGACTGTCATTGAAGTACATCTAGCTTCCACGACAGCACACGAGACTACACGCTGTAAACATACATATCATGGGAATAAAGTAATGCAATCAATGACCAACTACCCCTTTCCGCGCCTCATCCAGCGTTTACTCGCCCTTCAAGTGGTCCTGCTTCACGGTGAAAGCCATATCTAATAGGGCCTTCTCTTCGTTCTTGTGCGACACCTTAAGTCCAGTAGCCACAGACGCACTGGGGTTGCGGCCGGCGTACATCACGTGACGCCTGTTGTGGTGCTCGGTTTGGTTGAGCAGAGTCTCGATTCTGGGCTGGGTGAATGACCAGGCACCGGCGTTCAGGGGCTCTTCCTGGCACCAGATGATGTTCTGGGCGTTGGGGTACGAGTCCAGGTTGTCCTTCAGTTGTTGCCAGGGGAAGGGGTTGAGCTGCTCGATACGAGTGATAGCAACGTCCTTCTCACCGCGGGCCTCACGCTCCTTTACGAGCGCGGCGTACACCTGACCTGTGCAGAGGATGACACGGTTGATGCCCTCATGCGACTCAATCTCGCCGCTAGCGTGCGCGGGGTCTTCGATAATCCATTGGAAGTGAGAGTCGCCAGTGAACTCCTCAATGTTGGAGCGAGCGAGCGGGTGACGGAGTAGCGACTTGGAGAAGAAGAGAATAAGAGGCTTGCGGAACTGACGGTTCATCTGGCGACGGAGGAGATGGAAAAGGTTAGACGGCTTCGTTGTGTAGGCAATCTGGATATTGCAGTCCTGGTGCTGGCGGTCGAGCTTGTCGGGCGAGGGGAAAATACGGGGATCCTCGTTGCAGAGCTGCAGGTAGCGTTCCATACGTCCAGAAGAGTGCTCGGGACCTTGACCGTCGTAACCGTGGGGCAAGCTCATGACGAGACCGGAACGTTGAAGCCACTTGACTTCACCAGAGGCAATGAACTGATCGATAATGACCTGGGCAGTGTTGGCGAAGTCACCGAACTGGGCCTCCCACATGACGAGGGCGTTGGGTGATGATAGCGAGTATCCGTATTCGAAGCCAAGCCTACAGGTGATTAGTTACGGCAAAATACAACAAAACGGCATGAACTTACACTCCGTATTCGCTGAGCGAGGAGTTGGAGATGGTGAATGTTGCCTGATCCTCGGCAAGGTTCTGGAGAGGGGTGTATGTCTTCTCAGTTTCCTGGTCGTGGAGCACGGCATGGCGCTGAGAGAAGGTTCCACGCTCGACATCCTGTCCGGAGACACGGACGTGGTGGCCTTCCATGCACAGACTTCCGAATGCCAAGGCTTCCGCGGTAGCCATGTCGATGTTCTTGCCGTCCATGACAGTCTTGGTGCGGCCAGCCAAGATACGCTTCAAGTTCTTGTGTACATTGAAGTCCTCCGGCGCGCCGCCGATCTTCTCAGCGATGTGCTTCAGTTGAGTCTCCTCGATGGCGGTTGGCAGATGGGGCAGGACCTCTTCCGCAAGCTCCTTGGGCGACTTGAAGCCGTTCCAGGCCGAAGTAAGCCATTCCTTGGAGTTTGGTACGTAGTCCTTGCTGCGGTTGAAGCTCTCGTCTAGCATACCCCAGACCCAAGCTTTGTGCTCGTCAATGTCCTCTTTGGTGAAGGTCTTCTCGTCGAGCAGCTTCTTGGTGTAGATGTCCAGTGTTTGGGGTTGTTCTGAGATCTTCTTGTACATGAGAGGCTGGGTGAAGAAGGGCTGGTCAGTCTCGTTGTGACCCTGCTTTCGGTAGCAAACCATGTCGATAACCACATCCTTCTTGAACTCGGCGCGGAAGTCAGCTGCCAGCTGGCAGACGAAGTTGAGGGCCTCGACATCGTCACCGTTAACGTGGAAAACGGGCGCATCAATTGCCTTGGCGATATCAGAGCAGTAAGGAGTCGAACGGGAGAACCTAGGATCCGTAGTGAAACCAATCTGGTTGTTCACGATGATGTGAATAGTACCGCCAGTGTGGTAGCTGGGGAGCTGGTGGAAGCCCATAGTCTCGTATACTATACCCTGACCGGCGAAAGCGGCGTCACCGTGCAAGAGCAGGCCCATGGCGCTGGAACCTTCCTTCTCGTCGTTGTTGTAGTGCAGAATGGCGCGGGTCTTTCCTAGTACGACGGGGTCTTCGGCCTCGAGATGGGACGGGTTGGCGACGAGAGACAGCTGTACGCGCTTTCCGGATGGGGTGGGGCGCTCGAAGTTCATGCCCAAGTGGTATTTGACGTCACCAGAGCCCTCCTCGTTAGCCTCGGCAGTACCGGCAAATTCACTGAAGATGGACTCGTTGGGCTTCCGGACGACGTTGGAGAGCACGTTGAGACGACCACGATGCGGCATGCCGATGACGATGTCCTTGACGCCAAAGTCGACACTTCGGTCGATGAGGGCCTTCATACCAGGAATCAAACTCTCACCACCCTCAAGACCGAATCGCTTATCGTTGGGGTATTTGGTGGCCAGGAAAGCCTCGAAGTTGGTACCCCAGATCAGGCGGTCCAGAATGCGGCGCTTCTCGTCGACAGAGTACTTGAAGGGTGTGGGGACCTCGATGCGCTCACGGAGCCAGTCGCACTGCTCCCTGTCGGGGATGTGGATGTATTCAACTCCGTAAGAGCCGCAGTAGAGGCGTTCGCAGGCGTCGATGATCTCCTTCAACTTCATCTTCTTGCGGGACTCGGTCTTGAAGCGCGGCAAGATACCGGGGCCCAATTCGATCTCTTGTTCCAAGTCCTTCTCGGTGAAGTTGTAATGTGAGAGTTCCAATTCGCGGGGCTTGCTGTATCCGAACTGCTCAGCTTCTGAGCGGATGCCCAGCGGGTCGATCTTGGCCTTGTGGTGACCGCGGGCCTGGTAGGCTCGGACAAGCAGTTGCACTTTGAGATGGTTCATGACGTCGGTACCCTCGGCGGAGGCCATGCCCATGCCAGGCCTGTTCGCGGCGCCGCCCTGGGGCGAGCTCATGATGTTTGGCGGCGGTTGGAAGGCTTGCGACACGGGCATGTCGCCGGACTCCATGTTGTGGAAATAGACCTGCCATGAGTAGTGAACGCTGGCGGGGTCCTGCTTCCACTGCATGTACATAGCATCGATGTAGTTGGCTGTGTTGCCCTGGAGGAACGAGTCGTTGGGGTCCTATGCCGTCATTGTTAGCTACGGGTCGAAGAGTTTGAGGGTCTGGCTGGGAGGCACGCACAACGCCCTTGTTGGTGTCTTCCGACGACACGGCATACTGGCGGCGCTGCGTCACGGCGAGCGGGCGGCGACATGTCGAGAGAGCGGTTCGTGAGGGCTGTGCGAGGCTCGAGAAGGATGCTCTCGCCGGGGCGCACTGGAGCTGGCGGGAGCAGCACTGGCGCAGGGTGTTGCGCAACATGACGGAGATTAGATTAACAAAGCGGAGGTAGGGATGGGTGACATCCAAACGGACGACGATGAAGAGAAGAAAAGCCTCAGCTGTAGCAATGTGCAGTCGAAGTTAAGCGTCGCACGCAGTAGAAGTTGATGCAGCCAGGACAGGCCCCGTGTTCCGGCCTAGCGCGTATCATGGATCGCGGGATTTCTGACCGGTCACCACCTCCCACATTCAAGGGAAAGACCGAACACCGTGAAGTCCATATTGACACTGCATCTTCACGTTTACTTGTTGCTGTCCTAATGTAGTTTGCAGGCCTGTGCAGATTTCCAGTGGTAACCTTCGCTGATGGTGGCGGCGCTGCGATATGACGAAGTGGTCGCTCATCCAGTGTTCTCGCAACACCGGCCAATAGCAGGGCAGGCCTTATGTAACTCGCATGCAGCCTCTGACGGCTTCTGACGCTGCATGGCACGGATATGTATCCGTTGCGCCTGATGTGTTACTTCTCTTGGCTGATGCGAGCCATGCGCCATGTTTGCAGATACGCGTTCTGAAGTGGGCGAGGAGATGAAGAGGCCACATATAGCCAAACCTCCTCAAACAGTAGATGCATTCCAGCTGAACATCGAATTGAGTTTCGGAGTAGGGTACAGCCTTGCCTCAGAGCCTCAGCGGCTGCCATGCCGTTCGCTAATGCGTAGTCACGTGCGACGCGTGAATCTGGGGAAGCCCAGACAAGCTAGTACCGCGTCAGCCTCAAGCCAGGCACGCCTCACTGATCGTCGCGACATTACACCCCGCCATCATGGCCGACGCCGCTGCCCAGTACAAGAAGGACAACGGCAGAGTCACCGTGTCTGCGGATGGCAAGACGGTGTCCTGGAAGTCGACCAGTGGCGCGGCCAATGCGCCTGCTCCGTGGTCCATAGCCATAGCAGACATTGGCAGTATGTCGAGGCCTCACGAGAAAGACGCTATACACCACTGACACTCTCTAGACCTCCAGCAGACGCCCGCGACCGCTGCCAAGGCATCCATCAAAATCGTCGTACCCGAGCCAGCGCCCCTCGCTGGCAACCACACCCTCACATTCACCTCCGCTACCGCCCGCGACGATCAGCAGAACATAACTAGTCTATTGCGCAAATGGATCGAGGCTTCCAAGCAGCAGAGCGCTCCTTCTCCGGCTCCTGCCGCTGGTGGCAAGGATGGAGGTGACAGCAGCGCCTCAGCTGCCATGGCTATGGCGCAGACTGTGACTGCTGGCGGCAAAGACAACGAGGAAAACTACGACGATGCGAAGCTGCTTGCAGATACAACGCTTCAGATGTCGCTTCTCAATTCGAATCCAGCCCTTCGTCAACGCTTCGACCGAGCGCTTGCGGAGAAGCCCGATTCCGTCGGTGTCTTGCAGTTCTCTATGCAGTTTTGGTCTACACGCGTGCACATGTTGAGA